CATGTTACATTTACCCCGTTATCTTGCATTCTAAAAAAAATCCTCTTACTGTATTAATAAAAAATAGCTGGATTGACTTTTATCGCGTGCCATGTTTTTTTTCTTTTCCAACAGGTGCCTTGATGTTGTCTTTGCAGTTAAACATACTGTATTATTCACAGTATCCCATTTTGTGCATCATTATTTTCTGCTTTTTGTCTGTACATTTGACAGATTTGCTGCCTTGTTTTCTTTTCTAACAGGTGCCTTTCCTTGCCTCAAAGTTACATTCAACTTAAAGCGTGATATCGGCTACTACATGATTCAGGTCTATGTCCCCACTGCTCTCATTGTCATATTATCCTGGGTCGCATTCTGGATCAGTATAGACTCCAGTCCGGCACGTGTCAGTCTCGGCCTCCTTACGGTCCTCACTATGACGACACAGAGTGCATCTGCGCGTGCTTCATTGCCACGTGTGTCATATATCAAGGTGAGTGTTCATACTAGTTTAAATTTAACCTTGCACTGTATAAATTTTGCCCTTGGCTTCAAACTGAGCGGAGTGCTTAAAATGAAACGAAAAAAGAATTCAAATTATTTTGAAGCCATGGCTTCTGGGAACATTGGATAGAAAACATGACGTCATAGACATCTTTTTAACAAATTGTGTTGATGACGTAACATTGTCTCAGTGACGTCATTATCTTTTCAGGCTCTTGACGTGTGGATGTCCGTGTGCCTGGTCTTTGTGTTCGCGTCACTCCTAGAGTACGCCGCTGTCAACGTCTTTTCGCGGAGAGAGATTCCAAAGCCAAGCAAAGCTTCCTCGTTGATGGAGAAATTCAAGGGTCCGTCAGATAAATCGCTAAGGAGTTTAACAGAGGTAGGGCCCTCTATGACACCAGCTTTTGGGGTGAAATTTGGAGGCTTGAATTAAATGCGAACCGGTGTACCTCGAGTGATGGTGGTGGTGGTGATGGTGGTGATGAACCAGCTACCAATTTACATTAGTTATTAAATCAAGGGGAAAATAAAGCAAAATAAATTGAATGCATGAATGAATTAAGAAATAAACAAATCGAAACTTAATTAAAGAAGGTCACAAAGGTTGCATTTCCCTGAATTCAAGGAATGATTAAGCTATTGAAGACCTTTTAAGTGAATTCCATATGATTTCCTACAGCCCCTATCCAATGATATATTTTAACGTTTGTGTTTTTGTCGTTTCAGGTGGAAAACGGTGTCAATGGGCGAAAACAACCGCCGCAATATATCCGAGATCCATTCGGACGCGAAAAAGCGAGGATGGTGGATAAACTGTCAAGAAAGTTATTTCCAACGACTTTTATCCTGTTTTGCCTTATCTACTGGCCAGTGTATATTTTCATAGACATGTAAAGTGCTACGTTACGGACATGAGAGATCAACAGCATAACGTAAACGAGTATAACTGAAAAACGTGTTTCAGCTTACATAATCTTGACGTGTTGCATGTCTGACCACATGTCCCACCACATGCGCACATGCACAAGTGATGCATGTAGGCGCACGCATGCGCAACAGATAAATGTGCCACGTGAAGCAAAATGACGTCACCATACACGTATACATGTATGCTCAACATTGACTGGCCATGTTACCCAATATGTGCATGGGAAAATTACGGCTCTGACTGTGAATTTCACTGTAAATAACATTGAAGACCACCGTTTTTTAGAAACATTTTAACCATTTGTATGTATTGAAGACGCGCTATTTGTATAAAGACACTGAAGCGTTCGGTAGTTTACATTAAAGTTTGCAGTGCCCTTGAATTAATATTCGATATTATCTTGACATCGAAATGAAAGTTTTGATTCACCCAGTTGTTTTAATGTAAGGTAAAGATGGGCTATAATTATTTTTTTCTGAAATATCAACTATATGTAGATACAGTATCAGGTTTAGTTTAAGTTCCATCTTTATCGCATACTATTCTAACCTTGACTGTTTATAAGTAAAACAATGTATCAAAACTTGACATTTTTGTGAAAGTATTCAGTGGTCGTTCATAGACACGACATAAGGTAAAAATGCGTGAAATGTGTTCTTTACAACTTCGTGATAGACAACATGATGAACATGTACTTACCTGTACTATGGCTCGTTTCACAAAAGCAACGACCTGGGTAAATTTTCAGATATATGAATATGTGTATTTTTTTTTCTATCCTGAGATTTGCGAAAGAAACATAATCTTGCAGTGAAACTAATTTGCCTCTATGGAATTACTGTTTATTCCAAAAACAATATCCTGTATTGCCAATGTGCTGTAGTGCAAGTTTGTTTTATTCCCGATGTGTTAAACGTAATCGAACGCAGCTTTCTGGTGTAGTTTTAACGGATGTTTTTGTATGCCACGAAAACTTGAGTGCTTCTCACAAGGTTCCAGTGCGATTCATTATGAATAGTTGCTCTAAAGTAGCACCAATAAGTATGAGGGGATACTTGATCTGATCAAGTGGTTATTGAAAGTTCCTTACTAAACTGCAATGGTAAGATACAACATGGAGGACAATACAGTTTCTTTTTGGGTTTTTAAGATTCACGTGAACGCTTGTATATTTTGTTGTACAATTTGCACCCACGGTCCTTCAGAAGAACCGACTTTCGTTTACTCTGTCTGACATACATTGTAGAATGTGCATATGTGATGTTTCGCCTTTCCATGTTCATCAAATCATTTTTCTTTATATTTCATTGCCCATCACGAAATAAAGAGTTTTTTATAACACCTATATATCTCCTTTAATTGCTGACTTCAACAAGACTATAAACTATTATTTATGACCGGTTTCCCATGCCTACTTGTACATCGAACTAACAGCATCGGTCCATCTCTAAGGGGTTTCTTGCTAAATTGCTTTCAGTTAAGCGGCTTAGATATCTGGCACGCCTGCTTAAGCTGCTAAATGATAATTGATTACCCCCTAGCAGCCCCAGTGGGCGTGCCAGACATCTAAGCCGGTTAAGCCGAAAGCAATTTAGAGAGAAACCCCTTGGAGATGGATTGTTCCTGTTAGATCAATCTAGGCATGGGAACCTAGTCTATGTTTAAAAAAACCTAATGGAAGGGACATCTTGTCGGTACTAAAAATATATGTTAAAACTAGTAAAGCACAAGTGTCCAACAATTTACCGGAAGAAAAAGGGAAATGTTTTGGAGTGGCCCATTTAAAACCACGTCTTTGGACTTGACGATGTTTTACATGTACCAGTAGAGATGCTTGCGATAGGCGTGAGTTGCTATTATGAGATGTTCGCAGTCAGTTCAATATTGTGTTAGAGACGTACACGCTGAGAATCAAACTGCAACTTTTGCCAGTTTGCAATTGCTTTATTTGATTTCCAGTGTGCAATTGTATTATACTGTAATCATTATACCCTCTAAATCCTAACCCAAACAATTATCAGTAACTAATGATGCTGCAATGAAGCAAATGACATAAAGAACTTCATAGACCATTTATTCTCCGTACATATATGCACGCGCGCTTTGCATACGCGTCTCTTACTGTACACTGAGGGTTAAAAAAGATAAATGGCTGTCAACGTCTGATTCAAATGTACTTTGATGTGGTGAAAAATTGAGATAGTACGTTAAAGCAAAAAAAATGAGCTCTAATGGGGGATGAGCGATAAAGCAATGAGCTAAATAATTCCAAGATTACTTGTGGATGGATTAAAGATTGATTTGCAAGCGAAAAGAGAGTGACTGTTAAGATCTGAACCGTTTTTAACCACCTCTTCCGTGTGAATAGTGAATAAAGCCTCCCTGGGCATTTCTTCACACTTTACAAAATGCCAGGGTACTTTTACTCAAATAGGACTTGCGCGTGTAATCATCATTCGCCCCTAGATTGTCTCAGCGCATGCTGCTACGCTAATGCAGACATCTACATGTATTTCCCTCGGTTTCTTCAGTTTTCTGTACTACCTTCTTTATGTTAAGCGTGTTAACCTGTCTCTTTCGTTATTTGATATCTCGTGAATATATGCCCCAAGGGATTCTGACGACCTTTTTTCCAACCCCACTCTGGGTTTTGGTGACGTCATTATAATGCACATGCCTAGTTTGTTGACAGACATTTGTAGATATTGTCAACGTCAATCTGCGTTATTTGTTGATAAATTAGGAATTAGGAAATATTATTCCTAATTCATATCGACTCTCCGAGGTGGCTGTACTTAAGCTATTTGATAAGTTCTCTAAGTTCAAAGCGTCCAACTTGCCAGTCCTTTTAAAGTGCATAATTACATTGCAAGGATATAACATATGACAGTGTATGCTAATCTGATTAAAGTTTTAAACCTAAACAATAGGATGTATACATCATTTTATCATTCATTCACAAATGGAGTTTTCGTGATACTATACGGGTTGAAGGAAACACATGATGTCAAAGAAAATGATGTCAAAGCAAATGATATTTAAATGAGGCACGGGGATAAATATTATTACAAAATTAATTTTACTTCTGTCACGTCCAAGATACATTACGTGTTTTAGTAATTGCACTAAACTATACATAAATATAAGTTGCGATTCCCAGAAAACGCCTTGCATTCCCTGAAGAAATACGTTAATATTTCTCGTCTCGTTGATGTCACATGCTTTGGCAGTTGGTGTGAATGTCGATAATATTTTGACAGATTCTGAATAATCGTCCCGTCGCTAATGGCTCGTCTTCCATCGCGTGGGGGACTGCTATTGCTATCGGATATGACAGGGTCTTCAACGAGGCAAATACGTCTTGAGTGTCGAATGGTACCGGTCAGTATATTACGGTATATGTACTATGCTGAGCAAGGGTTAATGGCGTACTTTTACAAACTGGATCTAGTTTTGCAACAGTTCATTACGCACGGACCAATTATTGTTGTCAATTATTATGCATGATATTAAAGTCGATTGTCCAGTCTAATTAAGCGAACGGCGATGCGCAAACTTTTGCCATATTAACATTTTTTTACGACAGGGGGAGTGGGGAAGACAGGCCGATTATGTTTGACTATAACTTATATAATGTTACATATCTTTAAGTTTATTTTTAAAATAGTTTGAAATTGTGAACTACTACTACTTAATAGATGCTGTAGTACGGTATTGTCTATATAGGTTTGAATGTTCCGGGTAACCGCGTACTTTAGGCCACTTTTTGGATGCCAAATAATAATAAAAATCTATAACAATGCTCGACAGATATTTACGACTAACAATTTACAATTAGAAGCTTGATCAAAATGTCTCGAAAGTTGAAATTGTTAGAGCTACCAGACCGTGGCCTAATCAACCACGGGTAATTTAGCGAGACATTAGGCAGAAACAGCAGAAACAGCAGCAGGGTTTTCAATCAAAGCTCATTTTTTTCTCGATTACTGTTGCATCGCAACATCTGCGACTTTATTGCCGTATTGGATTACAGCCAGCCACCCAAGGACGCTACCCGCCGTTTATTTATTCACGAGTAATTGCACTTTCAGCGTCTTAGGGCTTCATGTAATTTCAATTGAAATTCTCGGCTTACGAAGATCGAGTCAACCCCACGGGTACTCTCGCTTATTGCAATCAGTTGAACACATTAATACGACTTCTCCTTGATTTGGGAAGAAGACAGGAAAGTTGGTGGTTACGTTGGAGGCAGAGGGGACTCTTTAAATTGTTCACTGATGCATGCAGCAAGGATCCTTACGGAGTTGGATCAATCTACGTAGACCGATAATTTCAATGGGAATGAGCCCTTTGTTGATCATGATTGGCTTATTTACCAGGGAAAAGAACTTGTTTGAAGTGTAGCTGAGACAGATTTATTTACCATAAAGATTCTGAGTCTGAAGGATGAAAAGACGAAACGTCTTGGCAATTAAGACATTAGTTGAAACACGAGTAGAGTCAGAGAAACCATTTTTGCTTGTGTTTTGAAAACAGTTTAATCGAATTAAATATATTTGTGCCAACTTTGTATAAAAAAAACTAGTTTACATATCTGTTCTTACGTACCCTTTCTTAATTACCACTCCACAAAAGCGAGATCTGAACTGATCTGAACTGATCACTAAAAAAATACCCTACTTACTTTTTCAGTTACAAAACATATTATGCGAAATATACCCCACTTTCGAGTAGCTCCAAAGCTTAACGGCGCCGCAGTTGTTATCGGTTCTTACACAAGGATAACGACTTGTAAGCATATCGTTTCAGGCTTTTGTCGGGTTTTGTTCTACATGTGACATTTTAAGCATACGCCTGTTGGGATATTTTTCCACAAGGCTTGAGGTTACACTCTGCCCAGCCAGCGATGACATTTCGGCCTTGAAAAAAGGCAGTTTACTTTCATAATTCCTTCCAATTATACTCAGTGCATTTTCTAACTTGTTTTACGTCCTTTTCCATGCATCTGTTAATCTCGGTATGCGGAAGCGGGCAAATGATCAAGCAAGCCTTCATGTCAGCCGATACTGTTTGATGAGATTGGAGAACGTGATGAGCGAATGACGTAATGGAAATGGTGCCTATTTGACCTCGGTTTCGATATCATATCACAGCGCCCTCTTCTACGCGGGCCACGTGTCAGTCGTCCGGCAACATAAAGTACGTTACCCAGTAAACGACATTGAAAAGGATGAATGAAACTGGGAATATTTTTCGTGATATTTTGTCTATATGCCTAGCCTTCTGTTTGTGTTCAATAAGAAAACGTTTTTCGTCCTCCCTAAGACTTGCATAGTCTGATTTTCCATTCATATGGAGTGAGATACCTGACGGAGTTGTCACGACCTGAAATGATTGCAATTTATGGTCAGTATATATATGGAATCTATTATAAAAATCAACTTCTGATTTAATTACAATTGGACGGAAATGCATATAAACTGAATCATTTCGAAATAACGCTGTTTGTTGATTTTGTACAGAATTATTATACCCATGGACACATGCACGTGACACGCGCTCAAACACACACGCACGCTCGCTCGTACCCTGTTCACTATGGACATATACACAACCACTGCAATGACATGGGCATATTTCTAAAAAAATATAATATCATATGCAGTGGCAATTGCTTTATTTTGTGCAAATATGAACAGAAACCAGAAATATGCAATGATAAAAATATATACCAACGAGTAAGGTTGTTAATTTTCACATTTGGTGCCATACGTACAAACTAAAATATATACCTTTTTTAAAGGAATTTCTTCTTCGGCACCATCGCTCCCGTGTCGGTGATGATGGTGATGATGATGCTTTCGGCCATTTTGCACAGGCATCATACTATTTGTTCTCCTCCAAATATTGAACTCTTTTCTCGAATAAACGTTCACTAATGCAAATTCCAGTAGCGAGGCAAATACAAAAAGCAAACACATACACATCCAAACGTCTATGGCCTTGATGTACGAGACTCTTGGAAGGTGAGAGTTTGCGCCGGCGCTTTGCGTTGTCATGGTGAGGACCGTAAGGAGTCCGAGAGGCACGCGCGCCGGAACTGCGTCAATGTCAATCCAAAACGACACCCAAGACAGGATGACGATGAGAATGCTGGGAATGTAGACCTGGATCATGTAGAATCCGATGTCTCTTTTTAAGAGGAAGTCAATTTGAAGACAAGGAAATGCACCTAAAGTAAAAAAAAAATCACTGTAGTCACATATGGTAACTGGAATTTAGAAGGAGCGTGGGCATTCTAGATTTAGCTTTACTATAATAAACGTGTTCCCCACCAAGAACTTACACCCACTAGACAAAGATAGGTGCACCTAAGTTACGCAGAACCACGTTTACCTGCGGTGTAGTTCTGTGAACAGTCTCTTTGCGTCCAGCCTATGAGCTGGTACTGCGGCATCTCAAAAGGTTCTTTTTCAACCGAGTTTGGCAGCCATTTGTACACAACTCTTTCAAGCGTATGGCCAACTGAAAATAAGTAATTGTGATTCATTTTATTAAATTCATTCTGCTAATTGTTTGTAAAGAACATCCTTTAAGGGCTCGTCTTTCTTAATGGTAAGTCAATTAATTGAATCATTTTTTTTCTTTGCCAAACGTTTGTACACAAGTCTCTCTCTCTCTCTCTCTAACGTATGGCCAACTGAAAAAAGCTCTTGTTGAGGTAGCTAGCCGAATAAAAGGTTAACCAATAACTTGAATCATTTGATGAAATTTAGAAAACGTTTTTAATAATATAGACTCACATGTTTGCTGAAATCCGGGATCGTAAGAGTATAGAATATTTCAATCGAGCAATATTTTATTTTTAAAACAAAATTCATATAAGATACATGAATACATATGTTAATTGCGGTATAAATAAACATAAAGCACACATGTAAAATCGTAAAATCAAATATATCATTTAATAGAAATATATCATTTGATATTGATATCTTGATAAATGGACATATGGGTATCAGGATGTAGGCTACTGTATAGCTACACGGGCGACTTACAGCTTTCAAATATAAATGGACATTTCTGCGTATCCAGGGGGTACTTCTTCAATTTCATAGGACACGAAAGCTTTGCAGTTATTCTGAAAAAAATAAATAATAAAGAAAGGAAAATATAATTTTAGGGATAGTGGAATCATTTTTGAAACCGTTGAACACCATAATTTTATAGAGAAATATTCCTTGATTATTATGAAAGGCAATCAGTTATATTTCTCTGCTGTTTGTTTCACATTCATGCTATTTCATATTTAAATGCCTTTGTAAAATATGTTTTTAATTCTTCCAAAAATCACACTCTATTAGGCAATTACTAATAAAACTATATGTAGCATTTAAGATCCAAATTGAAATAATTCAATACTGTCATCTTAATATTAAATGAAATATCAAGAGATATAGAACTAGAGAGTACTGCAAGAGAAAGGGCCTCCGTCATGGCACAACTGAATCAATTTTGTCACCCGAAAACAGCTAGGCCCTACATATCCTGAAAATATCAATATTTGTGAAGAACTACACAGACAAACAAACTCTGATGTCAACATGACCTCTTACGTTGGTGGAGGTACAAATGTCAATACAACCTCTTTCATTGGCGGAGGTAAGAATGACTTACTTTGAAACATACCACAGCCTCCCGTCAGAATATAGCCTCAGCAGCCTCTGTGGCACCGTCACGCTGTGAAAATCCGCCCTCTTCTCGTTCCGGAAGAAGACATCCGGGACCCAAATCTTGTTCCACATTCCGTCTTCCAGTTTGATCATATCGGGGCTTAGGGGATCGCCCGAGTAGTCAAATTTCAGCCTCCTGTCATGCCATTGCTGCCGTAGGTAGATATTTACCTGGTAGTCCTATATTATAAATATTAAGGAAATCTGTTTAGTGTAATATTCATATAGCTGTACTGTTTATATAAGGGCAATAGCAACACAGGCTTAAATGTTATAGACCTATCAACATCTCGGAAATCCGTTTTGTATAAAAGGTAGGCCTACGTTCATATAAAGGATTATGCGTTCGTTAAAATATAATTATAGTCAGTTATTTGCACTGATATATTTTTTAAAAATTGGTACTACAATATTTTGTATTAATTTTTTAAATTATATTAGGCCTATGGTTTTATTTATAATGTTGCCACCAAATGCATGTGGTGTATAAGTTGCAATGGACTTCTCTCTTTCCCCTCTCTTATTATTGAATTATATTAAGTGCAAAAGGCCTATTCATATAAAAGTAATTTTCATATTCAGGTAGGTCTACTGTAACATTAAAGTAATACGCATGCTATATTCTTAAAGTCATGTATGCATTTTACGTAGGCCTATAGGGGATAATATAGGGGCTTACTTGTTATATGTTAAATTACTGAGTAGCGGTATACAATGTAGGCCTATATACAAAAACCCAGCCCTTTGGCCTTATAAGACACTTTATGTGGTAGTTGCAGGTGTCCTTGTCATTTACTATATATCGCCA